TAAAGTAACAGGGGCTTTTCTTTGAGCTTTGAAGTTGTAGCAGCCATTAGTAAGGAACATGGAACTTCTGTTCTCATTGTCATCCACAGTACATAATTTAATGTGCAATTTAAAGTTCTCAAGACTTCTTAAAGAAGACATGCTGTATTCATTTAAGTAACTGCCACTTTGTTCATAAACAAATTCAGCAGTATCAAAAGAACTCATTAAAACCTAAGTCACCCAGACAGTGGTGTGGCTAACAGCACAATAATATCTTAGTCTAATCTTAGAAGCCAAGACTGTGTCCTTGCTTGTCACTACACAAACTCATCTCTCATAAGTTGCTAATCTTACCACTAGACCCCAGGGTATCTTCTCTTTCACCATCTGTCTAAAGTTCTAAGTCACAATTTGATTGGATGATGACCATTCCTCAATGAAAGTCTCTATCACAAGGTACTCCTGACATTAATGTTGCTCATCTTTCCATTTATCTGGTGTGTGTGTGTGTGTGTGTGTGTGTGTGTGTGTGTGTGTGTGTGTAACCACTCCTTCCCCCATTTTTGAACTAAGTGCAGAGGGAATAAGGCACTCTCTTGACAGTTTCTAACTGGCAATGCCACCCATCAGTTCATGTTACTCGTCCTGAATTAGGTCTTCACTTTTGACTGCACAAAAAATATCAACACTTGAAATACCCACCAGCATTTCACATTCATATATCTAAAATATCTCACTATTTTCATTATTGGATGAGCCCTTTCCATTTTTACTTTTGCCACCCTCCGTTCATAGTTCTTTTGTCTCACAGTGATTCCATACGAGAATTAACTCTTACTTTTCAAACTCCTTTTGCTTCCTTCTTATCACTTGTCAAGCACTATGGTTCCTCATATCATACCAACCCACCCTTTGCCACCTCTTCTGGTTTTCTTTAAAATGCTGCAGATGCCTCTAAACTAGTCCCACCACCTGGCCATTCATTGTATTCAAGATCGACTCCTGCATTTCAGAGAGAATCCTCCCAACTAAAGGTTTATTGGATGAATTAAGTTTTACAGAGAAGAGATTTTTCTTTGTAAAGGTCACAGAAAGTAAATTGCTGAGCTTTCAAAAGCCTGTATCTTAAACTGAGAAAGAAGATGCTAGCTCTAAAATTAAAAGTGAATTACAGTAGGATTTTGGGCCCTGTTTTGTAGCAGAACAGAAAGAAAAATCTGACAGATGAACCTCTTAGCAATGTGGAAAGAAATATACCAGATTCTTAATCTTTTAAAAACCTATTAAAATTCTGAAGAAATATAATTCCTTATGGTTATTCCAAACTCCTGAGGCACAATTTTAAAATCTGATGGTTATTTTTTAGGTCTAGAATCCATCATTCTAGTTTTCAAGCACTTAAATGCAATGCCCTACAAACTTTTAACTACTTGTATCAATTTGAAAAAAGTTTGCTTCTTTGAAAAATATTATTAAAATATAAATGTATTATCTTCTCTATCTATTAATTACTTACACAATGTTATCTCTTATTTCTCAATAATCTAGCAGAAAATGTTTCTGTGCAAAAGGGCTCAGTGGAAACCTTTCTTATCAATAAATATTTCAGAAGTTGCTTGTTTAGAACTCCAAACGTTCATGTTTTCTAAAGCTTTAATGACAAGCTATAAGCAGAAAAAGTGATATTTTAAATGAAAAACTAGATATCGATGGTAAATGTTGTTTATGATCTAACAAATAGATCTTGCCTGAAGATCAGAGTACAAAGCTAGCTACACTTGTCAGCCATACAGGTCAGGCAGGAGTGTCACACACCTTTAATCCCATCAGCCATACTAGTTAGCCATAGAAGCTGGGAAATGGTGGTGCACTCTAATACCAGCACTAGAGAGAATATAAGGCAGGTTGTTACAAGTAAGTTTTCCCCGCTGCCAATCCCACCACCATGCCTGCCCCAAATAACACACAGAGACTCTGTATTTGATATAATGCTGTTGGCCAGGTACTAGTTTCTTATCGGCTAGCTCTGTCTTAATTATGAACCCATTTCTGTTAATGTAAGTATTTCCACGTGGTCTCCTCTTACCAGAGAGTGGGCCCGGACCTCTGTTCTTTCCCATCTCCCCATGCTGACTCCTCCTTACTACTTCCTCTCTCCTTGTCTCCTAGTCCCACCTGTCTTGCTTTCCTATTGGCTAACAGTGCTTTATTCATTAGCCAGTAAGAGAAACATATTTACAGAATGACATCTCCCATCAGCAGGTGGAGACAGGAGTGCAGTGTCTGCAGTCATGCTGAGGACAGGATCACCCCAGCATGGTAGAGGCAAGAACTCACTAGTGGCTGCTTTGCATTTCAGATCTTCAGCTTGAACCCCAATATCTGTCTCTGGGATTTTATTATTCATGCTACAGATATCATTTTAGAATATTTTATTTCAGTCTATTTTATGAATTCAAATTCTGATGGGTTTTCATATAAGCAATGCCAATGTGTAGAATAAGACCACTACACCCATAATGAAGTTGAGCATCACAGGACAAAAATCTAAACTAGATTAACTTCAAAAAGAAGGTAATTAACTTTTTAAAATAAAATTGTTGTTATTTAGTATAAAGACCAAGTTGAGCAAATTACCTCAGTCTTACTAAACACAAAGCAAAATACCAAATGTAATATGTCAAATGCTGAAACTCTTTAAAATCCTTAAACCCAAGGATTAGGATAGAAAGTACCTTGATGCATTTGCTTTGTTCCTTCATTCTTAATCTGAAAATCAATTTTTCTAGGTTTGGTGATACAAGGAATCAAAAAAGAAATTAGCTGAGGTCAAGTCACCCTACAATGGGAACATAAATCTGCCACAGCAGCTATATGTTTAAGAACCTGTTGATAATATTAAACTTTGTTGGGCTATTAAACATATCCTTAAAGCCCGTTGTTGAAAGATGCAAAATCCAGCATGTTTCTCCTGTAGTGTTAATGAACTAAATTGAGAATTATTACATCGGTTTTTGAGCCCCCTTGCAAGGCAAGAGAATGGCGTTCTAATCTAACAGCTGGGGAAACACGGAAGTGAACGCAACTGTGCCCAATTACGAAAGAACAGTAGTTCTAATATGCTGGGAAGTTGATACCAAAGATTCTACATATCCTCTTCTATTACCTAGTTCAACCCTTGGATCCTAGCGCTGTACGTTTCCCAGAGTGCATTATTGCCCTGTGCGCCCCCAGTGTATGTTCCCCCTTTCATTTGCTTTTAAACTTTTTAATCTGTACAGCCTAACACCTGGGTCAATGTTGGGTGTTCAGCAAACTTAATTGAATCTCTTACTCTATTTAAAGTATTTTTTTTTTAATCTTAAAAGTTCAAGAAATAATCATTCTCTTTTTAAATAACTTTTAAATTTAAATTTGAAACAAGTTTGTTTTACATGTCAAATCCCAGTTCCTGCACCTCCCTTGTTATCCCCACCAACCCCTATCCCATCCCCCTTCTGCTCCCCAGGGAGGGTGAGGCCTTCCATAGAGGATCTTCAAAGTCTGTCACATCATTTGAAGCAGGGTCCAGGCCCTCCCCCATGTGGCTAGGCTGAGGGAGTATCCCTCTATGTGGAATGGGCTCCTAAAGTCCATTCATATACTAGGGATAAATACTGATCCACTACCAGAGACCCCATAGACTGCCCAGTCCTCCCAACTAACACCACATTCAGGGAATCTGCTTTAGTTCTCATTCTTTGCAAAATGCATTGAGATATAATTTAAGAAGTAGAAAATCAATATGTTGTCTCTAAAAAAAAACTAGTTAGAAATTTCACTTAAAAGTTTTTCCCTGTCATATAGTTTTGAGTTCTTCAGAATCGTCTTCTCCAAAAACTGGGATGTCATACTTGGGTGGAAATACCTTCAAGTTACTTCCAGTATTGTTGCAGGGTTGATTCTCCTAAGTAAAGGGAATGCCTAAAATGAGTGTCTTATGGATATCCAAAAGAATACACACACACACACAAACACACACACACACACACACACACACACACACACACGCACACACACGCAGAGCTAATCAATACTTTTTTTTTAATTGGCTAAGAAAATCTCCAATCAAATCAGGGCAATTAACCTTATTTCAGCATTACTAACATTGGTCTTTGTGTAACAACTGTGACATCATGACAGTGAAGTATTTAAGCCTTAAACATTTTACCTCTGTGTGTCCAATAGAAATACAATATGTAAATTAACCTATATTATCTGTATGCTGATTGGCTTGACTTCCCCTGAATGTCACAATCTCACCACCCAGCGATGAGGTATTTTACTGCTGTCTCGAGATCAAATTATTACACTAGAAAGATTTTTTATTTCTGTTTCATTAACAGATTATTATAAAGCAATAAGCTTGCAGCAAGACAAGCGGGCGGTTTACCTTGGGAATTAACGAAAGCGTGCCTGCTAGCTTTTAAGGGGTGGAAAGTGGGTAGTTGTTTAAAATCTTACCCCACCCTCATAAAAAACTCTTTGGAAATGGGAGAATCGGGACGTGGATGATTCTAAAGGAGTTCCTAATCACCAGGTGTCAGACTATGTGGTGTTTGTGGACTGGTGTAAGTTTCTGATATTCATCATATTCCTGGTATTTTTTTTTAATGTCTAATAACGAAGGAGAGGCAAGGAGGGATTCATACACACCACTGCTTTGACATCAGCAACCTATTGGTCAGCCCAGCTTGGAGAAAGGAGAGGCTTGTTGCTTGGTGGGGTGGGATGTGAGGAACAGCCATGTAAAATCTCTGTACTCCTGATCTGTTAGTCACGTTCTAGAAGGTAGAATGAGTGTAGATGGCTTTTGCACTTGTCGCCTGAACTTAGCTTCTCCTTCCTTAAACGCAGATCTGCGTGCCTTCGAGAACAGATGACGGCTAACAAAGACAGGGCTGCCCTAACCCGCTTCCCTTCTTCCCCCCACTGACAAGATTTTTTTTTTTTTTTTTCATTCTTTCTTTTTTCTTTCCCCAGCTACCGTACCAAATCAAAGATCAGCAGGGGAAAAACAATCTTTTGAGAAGAAATCTCCAAGGCGCATCCAATGCTTAGCAGGACCACCCTGACAGAGAAAGGAAGAGGATGTTTCGGGAAGGCGAGGGTTCGGGGCAGCTGGGGCGGAGGCGGCGGTCCGCGGCTCGGTGGCTTCGTGCGCTGCCCTAGGGGAAGAGGATGGGCCTGAGGTCCGGGAAGAGCCTTCCCGAGCCCCCCACTTCCAATGCGGGGAGGGAAAAGTTCCGAAGCAGCCTCGAGGGAACAAAAGCTTGATTCGGGGCCGGCTGAACTGGACAGGACCTTAAAGCAAGCCAGTCTGCTCCGGGGACAGGCAGGGGCTCCCGCTGGCTCGGCGGAGGCTGGAGCAACCCTTGCCGCCGCCCTCGCCACCGCGCCGCCGCCGCGGCCCCTGCGTTACTGGGGGAGACGGTGCCGCTGCGACAGGGGAGGACGCGGCTGGAGCTGAAGGAGGCTCCACCGCGCAGGCGCCGCCGAGCCCTGCCTGGATGCTCAGTCAAGGCACTCAGGAAAAAAAAAAAATCAGCAATTTATAGAAAGAAGAAGCTATAGTCTGCCGGGATATCCAACACCAACAGGTAGGAGGATATACTCTCGGTTAAGTTTGGGGGAGGGGGATTGCACCGTGTTGATGAAACTGCAGGTTCACCAGGATGCAGCCCTCCCAGAGGGTTTTTTTTTTTTTTTTTTTTTTTTTTTTGACAATAAACTGCATAATGGAAGTACATTCAGACAATGCATCTTCTGGAAGGCTTATTGAGAGTTCGGTTTCGGGAAAGCTTTGCAAAGCTGAAGAATATCAGACGGCGAATCACCAGGAACCCTTCCCTTGCAGCATAGAAGCAATCTCTCCCCATCTTCGAGTATGTAATGCATCTCTCTCTCTCTCTCTCTCTCTCTCTCTCTCTCTCTCTCTCTCTCTCTCTCTCTCTCTCTCGTTCCCCCCTCCCCCACCCCTGTTATAAATCCAGGGGTGGTGGATTTCAGGTTTCGTAATGTTGCATGATGTGATGGGTATTTACCCGGGGATGCACCGGTTGGGAAATTAACATCATCGGATGCAGTTCCGCCTGGGCTTCCATCAGCATATTCCAGGCAAGTGAGAAGTGGCAAAGGAAACTCGCTTCGTGGGAATAACAGAGGAATCTGATTTCCCTGGTGTGGCTCCCAGGCACCTAGGAGACAATGTGCATTTTGTTTGAAAATAAAGCCACTTGTGATTTGCAACACAGGTTATCAGTGTAAATGAGAAAGGCTTAATTACCTAAGAAATACCGGTTCATGTTATATTCATTCGAATCCAGGCAGCCAAGGTTGACAAATGGAAGTGCATTATTCCTCTGGGTGTGTTTCCCTGGCCAATATTTACATTAACCATTTTTAATAATCATGTAGGCTTAAAAGAGACAAGATTTGCCAAAAGGGGGGTGGGGTAGGGAGAGAAAGACAAAAGATTAAACCACATCAAATCTTGGGACAGATTTCTATTAATTTTGAAGTGTGGTGTTGAAATTATGCCTCAAGATGAATCAATAAATACTCTTATGCAGCATGAACAATGACACTTGACTTAAAAGATATATTTTGTAGAGGTTCTTGGATGCATATGAGCAGAGCTGCTTCCTTTAAAATACTGATGGTACTAAAAGAGCTCAACATAATTATGGGTAGCCTCCTTTCTGTCTCCTATCAGCAATCTTGCAGATTCCATTGCAAAGCTAGTGATTAACTCTTGGGTTGGCATATTTTACAACTGTGGTACAATTTATTCCCTTCCCTCCTGAAGGTGCCCAAATCTAACTATATGGTGTTTACAGTAAGGGCACTGTTAAGTCCACCTAGCTTAGAGCAGGAAAATACCCAGTACCCTGACATCTCCAACAACTGCTGAAGCAAACACTAGTGTTTAAAATGGAAACTTTATTTGCTTCATCAGAAAGGAGCAGCTATATGCTAGCACTGACATAATGGCTTGTTAACTTAAGAACTGATAGTTTTCTTTCTTCTTCTTCAGATATTCTGATGGCAAATCAAACGGAAGGAAAGAGGAAGCATGACCACAGATTGGATCTGATCTTTTTGTGGATTACATTTTCAGTAAAATGTATGGATCTATCTTTTCCTTGTTCAAATATCTAGATCATGAGACTTGACTGAGGCTGTTTCCTTATCCTCCATCCATCTATGGCGAACTATAGCCATGCAGCTGACAACATTTTGCAAAATCTCTCGCCTCTAACAGCTTTTCTGAAACTGACTTCTTTGGGTTTCATAATAGGAGTCAGCGTGGTGGGCAACCTTCTGATCTCCATTTTGCTAGTGAAAGATAAGACCTTGCACAGAGCTCCCTACTACTTCCTGCTGGATCTGTGCTGTTCAGACATCCTCAGGTCTGCAATTTGTTTTCCGTTTGTGTTCAACTCTGTCAAAAATGGCTCTAGCTGGACTTACGGGACTCTGACTTGCAAAGTGATTGCCTTCCTGGGGGTTTTGTCCTGTTTCCACACTGCTTTCATGCTTTTCTGCATCAGTGTCACCAGGTACTTAGCTATCGCCCATCACCGCTTCTATACAAAGAGGCTGACCTTTTGGACGTGTTTGGCTGTGATCTGCATGGTGTGGACTCTGTCTGTGGCCATGGCATTCCCCCCAGTTTTAGACGTGGGCACATACTCGTTCATTAGGGAGGAGGATCAGTGCACCTTCCAACACCGCTCCTTCAGGGCTAACGATTCCCTAGGATTTATGCTGCTCCTTGCTCTCATCCTCCTAGCCACACAGCTTGTCTACCTCAAGCTGATATTTTTTGTCCACGATCGAAGGAAAATGAAGCCAGTCCAGTTTGTAGCAGCAGTCAGCCAGAACTGGACCTTCCATGGCCCTGGAGCCAGCGGCCAGGCAGCTGCCAATTGGCTAGCGGGATTTGGAAGGGGGCCCACACCACCCACCTTGCTGGGCATCAGGCAAAATGCAAACACCACAGGCAGAAGACGGCTGTTGGTCTTAGATGAGTTCAAAATGGAGAAGCGAATCAGCAGAATGTTCTATATAATGACTTTTCTCTTTCTAACCTTGTGGGGCCCCTACCTGGTGGCCTGCTATTGGAGAGTTTTTGCAAGAGGGCCTGTAGTACCAGGGGGATTTCTAACGGCCGCTGTCTGGATGAGTTTTGCCCAAGCAGGAATCAATCCCTTTGTCTGCATTTTCTCCAACAGGGAGCTGAGGCGCTGTTTCAGCACAACCCTTCTTTACTGCAGAAAATCCAGGTTACCAAGGGAACCTTACTGTGTTATATGAGGGAGCATCTGTAAATCTTTAGCCTTGTGAAACACTCACCCTCTCTGCTAAGCAATTGTGGCCTGTAGCCATGTCTTGAGAAGAAAACCAAGGATGGGAGCAGCAGTTATAAGGATTTGGGCAACATTCTGCAGTCTTTGCAATAGTTCACCTATAATCCTATTTTAAATCTCAGAGTGATCCTGCTGACTGCCTTCGAAGGTTTGTAATTAAGAAAGGACAGAACCACTGCCCTAAGTTTCTTTCTGTGGTTGAACACTAGATAATGAAAGTAGCAGGTGCTAAGTATCAGTGCTAAATGCTGTGTATATCATTACATATGAAAAAAAACTTACAATTAGCATTGGACATTTTAATAAATTAAGTTGACATGAGGTAAATGTGTTGATAAAAGCTAATTTTAGAAGTTTGGAGACTTTAAAACATTTCATACTATTTTTGTTTTGCAAAGACTTCACTACTTGGGGACTAAATAGTACTGTAATCTTCTAAAGATGTGCCATGAATTATTGGGGTACAACACTTTAAACATGCCTTGTACGTTTGGGGGAGCATTCCAAAGCAGTATTTGGTTCCAATTAGAGTTTACCTTTTTTGTATTAATATATTGCTATTTCTAAATGCCACTCTCCTTCCCTACCAGTGAAATTGCTAGCATTGAACTGTATTATGTGTTTTCTGTTCATTCAGTAAACAAGTTTCCAATTCATTTCTATTTTACAAATGCTAGATATCTGTCTGGGAGGCAACATGATTGGTATCAACTAACCACAGATGAGCAGTTCTAATGATGCAGAATAAACACGTGTTGCCTTAAAGGGTTATCTAGTATCTTTCATATTCATTAGCAGTGGAGAAAATGGTCAAAAGGCATTGAATCAGTGACTGGCCCTGGCTGTTCATCAGGAAGTACATGGAAGAGCATTGAATACTTTTCCAGTTTTCCTCACATGGTTTGGAAACTAAGGTGCACATCACTCGGGTAATGAGATTTTCTTCTGAGGTGTGCTACCCATTCTAGTTTGTTCTAAGAAATGGACAGTTGATGTGTGTTTATATTGTAAGTCAGCCATCAAGGGGAGCCCACAGCCTTAGGATGACACCTGGCACAATTTGTGAAGCATTTATTCTATGGAAGGCACAGTCTTGTTTATACTTTCTGCACATTCAGTGTATTGGTCGTTTAAATTATTTCAGTTTTAACTTGTGAAAGCTTACAATATGATTTCTGGTATTTTAGAAATACATTAGATTCTGTGAGTCTCATTCTTTAAGATACAGATGTGTGAACTTCAATATAAAGTTGCATTTGCCAAAATTTATCTGTGTAGCCTGTTAATTTTCGTGGAATAAATTTTACATTTTTGGCATATAGTTTTCTTTAATCTCGCAAACAAGCACAAACTAGAAAAATTAGTTTTATTATGATTTTTTTAATTTTTTGTAGTAACATATTCTGAAACTGAAGTATATGATTGATAGCATAAAGTTGACTTAATATTTCTAAAGCATTTTGGGGTAACTTTTCAAATCCATCACATTTTTTATTCTTATATAGTAGTAGTATTTACAAACAAATACATGCTTAATTGTTTGGTTTGGAGTTTTAATGTAATTATTACACTTTAGTGTACAGTAGAATTTGAGCTCTAAATTTATTACTTGTCAGATGGGTACAGAAAGAGTATGACATAGCCAGAGAAAGTTGTTACTGGTTCTATTGGCTTTCCACTATTTTATTTGTTTCTGGGGGGATTTTTTTTGTTTGTTTTGTTTTAGACTTCTATTTGAAAAATAATGTTAAGATCCTAGTGAAACAGAACTTCTTAATAATATAATACTTCTATAAACAGAATTTTTAATATAAGTAGAAAAAACAAAAACTGAAATTTTTCAATCGTCTATGCAACTATTCAGTTTTGCTCAAGCCATGATTAGTGAGCATTCTAACCTCATTTCTACACCAAAGCTTATTTGCTCTGAGAAAAAGTTTAATGCACAGCAGTGAGATGGATCTAGCAATAAAATCTTCTTGTTCATACTAAAACTGTTATCTAAAACACAGTAAAGACAATGTTACCCAAACATGGGCTGCTAACATGTTTCCATCTCAAAATTTATAGGCGAGACGTGGCATTTATTATTTTCTGGGAAAAGTTTGCTTATAGTTTCAAATATCAATCAGAAATTTCAGCAATGATCTTGAGGCCAGGGAACACAGGTTTCACTAATGTATACTTCTATTATGTAGATAAGTAAATAAATGTGAATTAAGTTGGGGCCAGGGCATAGGAACAAAGAGAAAGGCAGATCAGTTTGCCTGATCCCACCTAGTTACTCAAACTAATGACTCATTTTGTATAAGTGACTAGTCCCTGGGGTTAGTGAATACAGCTAACTCTAGTGACTGTCAAGGGACTGTCATTCTTGGCCTACTTGGCACTTGGAGGTGAAGTCTAAAGCACTGAGTCAATGAGCCAGACACAGCCCCAGTTATCAATCAAATTTGTAAGTCAACTCGGAATAATAGTAATCATAAAAACTAAAAGTCTTCTCCAGTGTTTTTGTGACCAAAACATATTATCTATTTTGTCAATGATTTCAATAGTCATTAAAAAAAAACAGTTGGTCATACATTAATTCCACTTGAAATTTTTACTAATTTTCAATCCACAAAAATACATCCTCAGTGGGGAATACAACTTCCCATTGTGAAAGACTCATCATCAATAAACTATGGGTTCCTCTTGGACTAATTATATTACATAGCTGAACAGTCTTTACATTCCTTTCTGTCAGAGTGGTAATGTTTTTCAGTGGATATGCCTGTACTTGGTCATCTGGCTCCTTTTATGAACAATGGATTTATATGTTTGTGACTGTGGAATTCCATGCAGACAGATATTAACTAAGGCAGACAGAGGTGAGTAGTTGCCTGGTTTTCTACATAGGCTTGACTTGAATAACAAAACTAATTGCTGTTGAAGAACATTAATTGTAAATAGGAAAATCAAATGACTATCTTCCCCAGATGTTAGCTAATTGAGTTTCGACACCATCATTTCTATAGAATTAACTGATTTATTATTGTTAGCACTTGGGTATGGCCTCTTTCCCACTCATCTACATTTCTATGGATGCTCACCTGAGTAGTTGGTTCGTTTATTCATTTGTTCAGTAAATTCATCCTAGGCTCTGGCTTCATGCTTTGAGTATTGTGGAACACATGACAGAATGAGCTGTCCTTGAGCTTCGTCAAGTGGGAAAGAATCAACAGACATGGGGTAACAGTGAGTTGTGCATGCTAAGATAATAAATACTCCTAGGGTAGGGCCGGAATTAATGACTACAAATTAAGTTTGGTTCCACTTTCTCTCTAATGCCTTATCTCCTGGTTTGACTTGGAATCTTTTATATATCATATGCCCTCAACTATGGGGAACCTTTTGCTACATTCTAAGGAAAGTGTCAGCACCCTCCATACTTATATGAATTACTGTGCTGTGTTTTGCAAATAGTCCCCATGTTGTTAACAGTTTGCATAAAGTCACAAAGAAACTTACATGTCCAGTCTCTCCCCACTCCACTGGGTCCTAACTGTTCACTTCCACAAGAGATAATTCAGTCCCTTCAAGAGACTTGAAGGTGACTCTCTTCTGCTAGAGTCATACTTCTCTCAGGTTACCATGAAAATGTCTAGGTAAAGTACATTCAAAGGACAGACTTGCCCCTGTGCATCTCAGTCATTACTATCAGGGGGGTCTTTCCTGGTACCAACCAAAAATAGAAATAATATATGAAATGAGGTGTATTATTATTAAAATGTTCTGCCCCTTTAAGATTCCTACTGTTCCTTATTGGGGTGAAAAATACAACTTCTGAGTGTCCTATAGCTGAAAATTTGGTTTGGCCTCCAACAGTTATTTCTATAGTGAAATATATTCATAATTACGCGGATACACACTTTTCATCTAAGTTACTTAAGTGCTGATCTGTGCTGACCCTGGGATTACTACTGGGAAGTTGTAAATGAAACCCAAACTCCTCACTTCTCCATATTCACCCTTAGACAAATTTGAGTTTTTATTCTATCTTATCCCTTGAATAGCAGAGACTATAGCTTGTTTACACACAAAATTCCACCTTATATTGAGTCCATACTAAAAAGAAAATAAAAGGGCTCTAAATAATGACATGTTTCAAACACTGGCTAATGATACTAAAATCAAGATAAAGTCTGTGAGTCTGGGAGTTATTTACTATCCCGGAGTCTTGTAAGTTTGTTTTCCCATGGAAAAAAAAAGTTAATCACATTTGTGTTTGGTGAGAGCTTATGAATATTTTGAATGGAAATTATAAGTTCTATTATCTGTTTATTAATGAAATTTTATTGCCCTCCTCAATTATAGACATGCCATTGATTTTGTGACTTTTCTAAACCTGCAGGAACTTTATTTACCTCACATTAAAATGATAGAATTGCTCAATATTGAGCATCCACAGCTTGCACAGTGCATAAAGTGAAGATGCCATTTGAAAATGGCAAGTAAGTTTAAAGTATAGTAAACAAACACACAAACAAACAAAGAGGAGCAACATATTGGAGATTTGGGGTGAACCAGACTAATAAATAGTTTGCCTTAAAATTCAATGTAACAGATTCTAAAAATAAATAGTAAAACCAAAAGCCTTTAACTTCATAAAAATGTTACATAAGTAAAGCCTTATTTTCAAACAAGAGAAGGAGCTTTGCATTGTCTCCTTTTGCCAAGGGGATGTTGTCCATTAGCTGTTTAAACCCTTTGGGTTAAAAGGCTTTTAAAGCCAGTTTCCTCTCCCCAACTCAGGAAGCAGCAGATCACCTAATGCTCCAGAGGAAATCCAAGAGAATGTGTTTCCCTAAAAGTGGCTGTATAAACATACCTCCAGGAAGCCACAGGTCAGTTGGAAGTTGAAGGGGTTCACACCTGACCCTCAAGGGCAGCTCCCCGCTCCTCCTGATGCCAAAGGACAGATCATCCTCTGAGTATGGAGAGTGTTAGATTCTTCTCACAAATATGAAAGCCTATTCTGTAATTCAGGCCATGTTTTATGAGATGTTCGGGTAGATAATAAAACACTGAAGCATTAAACTTATGTGGGTTCTTGAGATCACAGGATGAGAAAGTAAGGTATCCATTGTACCATAAGCGAGGGGTTGAACTCCCAGAAATGTTCAAGAGGGATTAAGAATTGGGCTTGAACCAGCCACAACTAATCAGCTGTTTCTTCTTGTAGACGTAAGAAAAGGAAAAACAATTAAATAGATGAAGCAGAGTTTGTTCCTTTGTCTTCCATCAAAAAATGTTGAATTGAATGTCGATATTTTCCCATGATAATTTCTTTTCTGTCCTTTTGTTCTTGTTGTTCGGTGAAACATAACTTTAATGTGAAAACAATTCATTATGCCCCCCATTTTAGATAGAGTCTTTGTCAAATGGCTTTGCCTTTCTGCCTTAGCAACAGAAATGGGACCACAGGAACGTATGAGGTCTAGAGCTGTTGAGAAGACTGAGTGAGTGCATCCCTGTGAGGCCCTGGCAGAGAGGCGACCGGTTTAAACAAACTCTGTGCTCCAAAGAAGTTCATCATCTCACACTGAAGCCATCAACAGAGGATGAGACAATGTGATAAATGCTGTAAGGGGGATAGGTGAGGTAAGTGTTAAAA